TAAACTGATAACCATGTAAGATCAAACATCTATGTTATGGATCCAGCTTCTTTAGTAGGATTTAAATATTGGACATTAACAGACTGCTAAAAACCAAAAATACGGTATTAAGCTTCAACAAACCCATTCATGCCTATGAGAACTGAAAAAATGGCACCTCCAAGGATCTCCACCTCTTATAAGATTCTCCCAACATACGTTTTCACATATAGTCTAGGTGGCTAGACCTGAATGATGAACTATATATGTTAAAATCAAAGTGGTCTTAGAATGACATACTGGACATTGAAAGAGGAAAACAGAAACACTTCTCCAATAAGCAAAAAGTATTTGTAGATCAAAATCTACCACTTTTTCTCAACTTTTCCTCATGCTGCATTCCCACTAGATAATTACAGAGGATTTATCATAAAATGTAGAAAGACCAGTGAGGTAAAATCAACTTAAATATAATAGAATCGCACCCGCTATATTTCTACTTAAACCGGAAGAAATTAGCCAAGATATTGTTGGGCAGATATTATGCCTACTCTCATAAGTTCCAAAATAGGCTAAAAATTAAACACCCAACTATACAAATTCATACGGTATTTCATATAATCTTGCATCAGCATTCTTCAGCCATTCATTATTTAGGTTCATGAACATTATCACTTTTTTCTTAACTGTTCTGAAACAAATCTATAATCGTATCTCCTATTAAATAGTCATAAAGGGTATGTGATAAAATTGTATGCAATCAGTACCATGTTATTAAGTTACAATTAGAAATAATGTTAAGATTATGTTTGTAAGCAAAAATAGATACATGGAAAGTTGCATTCATCTATAGTTGGGAAAATTAACTTGGGTTTTCCAAAAGCCATATTCAATTTGACTGATCATTACATTTCAACCAGAAAGCAAAAAGGCTTGTTTTTATTTTTTTACTAGAAGGTCACATTGCCAAAATGCAACAAGCACGATATAATTTTTTGTAAAAAGGGATTATTATTGTTACACATTTTGCAGAGTTCTGGATATAAAAAAAGATTGCATTATTCTGAATCAGTGGTGAGAAGGTTTATCACTTATGCATGTACTTGACTTATCCCTGTTCTGCAATAGACATAATTTTATACCTCATAAAAGCAATTTATGTTTCCAAAGGGAATAATCTGGATAACATAAAATGTGGAGTGCTATGTTGCGGGAAGCATATTTTCATTCAGCAATTGTATTTCAAGATGGAGCTGCACAGTTTGATCATCATATCATGTCAGAAAACATCATTCACTAGTAAGTCTATCTAACTTCTAGTGCCACAAATTAATATACATCGTTAATTTATTTGTATATATACTTAATTTATTGCCAAATATTATCCATAGATGGTATTTATATTATGTATACAATAAACGAACCTCAAAAATATGGACACTATGCTAAAGCAAGCTTGTTAACTGTTGAAATATTCAATTGTTCATGTCTTCAGAACAGTTGCATTTAGCATTAAATTTAATGAATACAAAATAAAACAACATGGAAAACAGCTATGGAGCCTGGGTATTTTTTTAAATGCAAACTCAAATTTAAAATTTATATAATGAAAACATTCTACAAAAGACTCTCTTAATGGAAGGAAACATTGCAGGAATAATTAATTTAATATTTTATGAACCTATTCTGCATGGAATTTGCAGAAAAATATCAATCATGTAAACTGTTTCATTATTTATTAGATAAATAATACAGTAAGCCATTAAGTAGCACAATAAAATTAAGCAAGAATCTGATAATGTGGAATTAACAAACAATTTGTTACTACAAATATTCACACTGTTTTAGCCACTGATATATCTTTAAAAACATATGCATCTACAGAAGATGCTTTGTTATGAAAAAACATGAGTTAAAAAAAACATGTAAATTTGAGACAGCTTCACTATGCTCTAGGACCACTAGAGAGAGCTCTTCAGTTCCTTTAAAGGTTCTTGTAAAGGTAAGAAAGCTGTCCAGCTGTGATGCTTATCTGTTTATCTGATTTCCAACACTAACATTCACATCACCAGGATCTGATTACACGAGTTCGTAGCAAACTGGCAAATCTAGTACTTTCTAAGGTAAACAGTGTCACATACCATCAGAGGGTGCTTCATCCTCTTTATCATATCGGTCAGATGCTAGTGAGACACTATCAGGAGGCGAAGGAAAAGAGCCCTCAGACTCTTCCTCATCTTCCAGTTCTGTAAAAGTTAAAAATACATTGGTAGTTAAAATAGCCTATCACACAAACACAAACAGAATCCAAAGACAAATATCTGTATTAGGAAGGAGGATACAAATTCCTATCTCCAACCAAAAAAAATCCCATTTCTCATGGACTCTTGTAACATGCACCTTGTACGTTCAAGCGCAGCTGAGAGCGCTGCTGTTCTAGGGCTACTTTCCAACCAGCCGCGTGCATGGTGCTGGAGTGGTTTCCCTTAACACTGTCATATAATGAACTCACTCTCAGCGCTGCACAGCTGACAGCTTCTCACCCGTGGAGGGGCAAGCCACACACCACAGGAAAGAGGTGGGCAAGGGAAAACACCGGCAGGGGAAACGGGCAGTGCCAAGCTCCAAAGTTCTGCCTGTCGAGTGCAGGAAGGAGCTGCAGCCACTTCCCTTCAAGCAACTGCCAAACTCCTCTTGGCAGTTTGTTATCCTCTGCCCACTTTCACTTTTCTTCACCATCATTAGGCACTACTTTGCAAATGGTGTATGTGTATTCCTCCTATGAAACTAAGAACTGAGTCGCCTTCTGACAGCATCCAGTCTGAACTTGTGACTTAATGCAGCATGATGAATTTCTTATGCAACTGAAAGCCCTACTACAATATACACACAATCTACATTATTAGCCAACCTATGCACTACACTGAACAGAGTGCATTACGTGTGAAGGTCTGGGAAAAGAAAAGTGAAATTAATATTAGTCAAGGCTTTAATTTAATTAGACAAAAATTTAAGTTCTCCCTCCCAAAACTCAGTATATGTTCTCAGACTTTTTTTTTTTAATACCATCTAGGCAAAGAAGTGGTGGAAAAATAACATCAATTACATTGTTCCTTTAAAAATAAAAATCAAATCTTGGTGAAGGAGGAAAATCCAATAACATTATAAAAATCACCAAACCAAAGTCATAAACCTGATGCTCCAATAGATCAAATGACCCTCAATTTTCTTAAAAAGCTTATAAAAACTAAATTGCTCAAGCATTGCCTTTTGGTATATTCATATGCAGAAAGCTTCCCAGAGACCTCCACGCATGCTTCTCTATTTATTCCCTTTTGGAGCTTTGCATCGGTCAACTAATGTCTCAGAATCCAAAATAAACTCCATGCATAGTGAAAATATTCTTCTCCACAGACATATGAACTGCATTCATCAGTAGGACTGCCTTGCCATGGCTGAGAGTTTCCTCCTTTGCTTCCCATTTAATAATGGAAAATCATGGAAAATTCAGAGTCTATGCCTAAAAAGCACCATAGTTGAACAGCGAGTTTTCTATGCAGATAAGACAACAAAGCCTGATTTTTGCTTTGCTGGAATTCCTTTACATCCCAAGACTGCTGAATACCAAATTGGTTTTCCCTTCATTAATTTAGTATGTTTTTCTTGGGAAAGCTTTCTTTCAAGCTCCCATGCCATATAACAACCACTTTGAATCTGAACCTGACTCCAATCTAATTTTGACACGTCCATCTTCCAGTAGCACTCCAGCCATCGTGTTAATCTGATCAAAATATTTGCATTTCATCACACCTGTCAAACCAATCAAAAGTAAATTATCCCTCTCCAGGATTCTCCTCTTCCTCCAAACAGAAAATCAGAGAGCAGAGAGCACATGAACAGCAAATATTATGCCATGTTTACAACTACCATGATAACGTTTCACACTTACACACCAAAGACCAGTTGCCCCTCTCTGTCTACACATCTGTCTAATCTTTGTTTGATGAGACTCCATACAAAAAAGCAAACATGATATTCACAACCTATACAGTATCAAAAGTTGTTCCACTCTTTTCCTGTCCTAAACTTTTACTAGCACTAGAATACATAGAATATATGTATGTATGTATATACATATATATACACACACTATATATATACACACGTACAAGCCCTGGTTCTCGGTCAAAAATGTCTTTTTATCAGCTATGCATAAACGTACTATCATTTAATCTTCATGAGGGTGCCAGCATAAATTTAAAATATTAGGCTATATTTTTAGAGGAAAACATTTCCACAAACACCACACTCCAGTACTCAAAATTCATGGGCTGAATAGTAAGAGTAAACCTAAGTATATCTAAACAAATAGCACTTGTGGATGACAAATAGGTGAGTACATATGTAGAAAGAACATCTCCAGAGAATTTTGCACCACTCAGCAATAGATAACCTCTTTCAGAGAAGCTGTGATTTCTTATGTAAGTTTCCATAGCTGCACTGTTACCTTGCTCTTCCATCAAGTCACAATACTACTATTTTCTAATTATGCTTAGAATTTCAAATTCAGTAAACCTTTGTGCTTTGCATTCATATAAAAGCCAGATGATACAGAAACAAGGCGCTTTTTAATACATACATATTTAGGGCACACCATGTACCTATCCCAGGTATATACTGGGCACGCTGTTTTTGAAACAACAAAAACCATGGGCACGCTGAAAGTACATTTATAATTAAACAAGTATCTGTTCTAAGTCTACAATATCCAAGTTCAAAATGCTCTTAAAACAAAACAATCCCAAAAAAATGTTGAGGCATTATGAAGAAAGAAATTACACACTCCGTGCTTTTAGAGACTTTACAGTCTTCAAAGTATTTTCTAGAATCCTAAATAAAAGCAATCCCATGGCATACAATACTACATTTAGGTACCCACACATTTTTATGTGAAAAATGTGGAGAACAGGTCACAAGACACTAGAGGTATAAGCGACCTGTAGCCCTGCAGAACTAGATAAAACTAAAAATCTTCCATTTTTTATTTTAAATAAATGTATTTGTAAATTTATATTATACTCCGAAATGCAATCTTTAAATCATCTAATTTGTAGAGAAGAACTGCAGGCATTTCAATAGGAGAGCTGACTCAATGTGTTCTGGAGCTTTAACAGGCAACATTTCACAATGTTTTTATGTGCTCACATAAAATAAGGACTGTGTGCTAGTCTCAGCCTTGGGGTTTTGCTTCCTAATTCTGGCCAGGTTAAAAGATATCTTAGGAGAGTATGCTATTAATATATAAGCATATTGCCCCTGACAGTTCAGAGAGGGGCTTCCTCTCGATTCTGTGGGGTCTCCTGCATTCCCACTCAGAATAATCGCTGCCCTTTCTCCACTTGTACATGCTCCTCCTTCAAGGTGTTGCACTGAAGTTTATACTCCGCCTACTGAGGAAGACTAGACAGAATTGCATTTAAAGCTACATGTGTTACTCCTTGAATAGTCAGAGGAGTCAGTGTTGAGCAGCACAAGCCACTACTCTCTTCAGGTGCCAAGTACCTAAAAATACACCCAAAAAGCATCAATAAATTAAAGAAAAGCATTCAACTTGCATTTATGTAATAGAAAACTGAACTACAAAGCAACAATGGGCATCAGGTAAATGTATCCAATACAATTTGCAGGCATAATTGAAAGCATTACTGCCTAATCAGACATCTAAAAGCAAAGCATGCTCAAACGAAATGTCTATAGACTCATTAGTTGGCAGCCATTCCATTACAATCACACATAATGTCAGTAGTGCCTTGAACCTGTGCCAATGACAACAGCATAAATTTTGCATCTCATTTCTGTGGTCATAAAATTAATGATCAGTTTAAAAATACTTCTTTGCAAAAGTTATTGCACAAAGAAATGACATGAACGTGTCCCTGTTATGTAGTCACAAGGATAATTAAGGAGTTGATGCTCATTAATAGTTTCTTGTTTCCCCAGACTACCGTATGATTTATCTGGAAGTTGGAAAAAAAGTTTAATTAACAGTAGATAGCTTAAAACAATAACAAAAATAGACAGTTAAAACAATAACAAAAATACATACACAAACTGACCCTATTCTCCAGTTTCTGCCATTTAAACTAACCTCTTACAGGTTTGATAGCAGAATCAATATTTTATGTTATCTGCAAAAAAACCCATACAATGTCTTTCCTTATTAAATGATACCTTTTCCATTACAGCTTATTTATTGATTTAGGAAATAATGCAAAGGGTAAGTGTACCACATTAGGAACGGAGCATAAAACAAACTCTCCTCGTTGTAACAAGGGCTGCACTTCAGTCCCCGACCCCTGTTCTGAAGGCTTCCAACAGATTTAGTTGGTACAATCTGAATATAGTGAACAGGACCATATTACTTTGTAAGAATCCAGTTTTTAAAAAAAAAAAAAATCCAGACTTATTTTCCTCCAAGAATTCATCTTCTTGTGCTGTAGTGTGATCATAGTAATGAATCCCTAAGCATTACAGATACTGTTTCTGCTGCTAAATCTAAAAAAGAACAAGCAAGATGTTTCAGCCAGCGCTTCAGACAGACTTGCTAGCTTGCATCCTCAGATCACTAAACACTTCCAATTTATTTCTAAAAAAACTCTAAGACAGAGTGATGCATTAAAATTGCTCGAGTATAAGAGAAATAAAACAACTCACAAAAATAAAAAGACATGCAGTTCAAAACACCATCCTTCTTGCCATTTCAGAAGGTCCCAAGTCACAGCAGGTTGAAATCACTTCCTCCTGTCCAATCTCTGCTGCAGTAAGAGCCCACCAAAGGACTCAATGAAGCCATCGAGCAGATCAATGCAAGGTTCTCACCACACAGTTTTTCACAAAAATAAGTAGACAAGGTTGTTTTCAAGCTGGCACAGGATACTTTAGCCCCTTGATAGCTGCAGCTGATTTTTTTTTTTTTAAGATGCTACTGACCCAATCCATCAGTCATCCTGCAAGACTGGATTCTTCTGATGCCACTTTCTGAACATATGCTTTGCCACGCAACCTGCTCCAACACACTCACTCCTGAAGAGTATTCTAGAATCTCATATTAACATGATAGTTTTTAATGGTGGTTTTGTAATGGTCAAGTAGGAATTCTTTAGCAGCTATTTGTTAAAACAATACTGAAACAGCATTAGGTTTGTAAGCAAATATGCTCAAGCAAGAAAAGCAATGCAACTTTTACTTGCTGAGTTGCCTCTTGTTCTGATGATGCACATCAGGATAAGACCATTTTGTCATGCACTGGTGGCTGTATCTTGTGCTGCTTCAAATTGCACCTGGCACAGACACTTCACAGATAAGAGTTGTGTGTAGCTGAAAGGGACAACATGGTGACTTGCCTACAATGAAACATTCCAGACTTCCAGGGCAGTGATATTTGGCACACTTCTGAAGTATCTGATGGTGTCTCCAGAAATATGTCACGATGATCTTCAAAGGACTGCAAAACAACTAAGCCATATCTTTCCCATTTATGGTTAAATACTAACGATATATTTATGCTCCTGACTGAAAGCTCAAGCGTGTTAAAATATACAACTCACATCCACATACTTCTGACAACCACAAGCTACTGCCTCCCTTTCTCAAGTCAAAAAAAAAAATCCTACCTGCTGCTGCTTCCTAAAAAACAGACTTTAGAGACAAAAAAGTAAGCATCCCTCCATACAAAACAGAAAACACAAAGACTCTGTACATAGTGCTCCTCCGTCAGCTTGACTACATCCAGGAAGCAGGTGTCTCACGCTCCAGACACTCACTGTTCTGCCAATGAGGCATCCGAGTCATTTAAAGGTTTCCTACAGGTGCTCTCAATAATTACATAGAGAAGAACATCGATGCTGTGGAGACACAGGTTTATCTTCTGTTATACTGCAGTGAAATGAAAGTGAAAGTGGACCTTCATGAGTTTTCATCTGCCTGAAAAGAGGTGGTTCAGCAAATGTCAAATCATACTTTTCTGCATAAATAGTGCCAAAGTCGTGTGCTGCAGATCGGATAGAAGGTGAACCGAGTGCTTTATGGGGAACTTGTTCTGCAAATTCCCATATTATAACTAGATTTGGCTAGACTTTTGGTGTCTCACTTTCAACACTGAGCCAAAATCTTTTGTGAAAAGTGATTAAAAATATATATTTTACTAAAATAAATGCAAAGAACAGATGGCAAGCGAGCTTCAAACACAAATACAGTTTCTAGGGCTTATAGTGCTTCTGCCAACTTTAGCACTATTTTTAGCATAAATTGAAAACAAGGTTCTTTTAACTAAACATTTTGGCAACCATGGTATTGATTCAATTAATCTCAAAACAGAGAAATGCCAAAAACTGTATTAACTCAGAATCTTTGACAAAGTTCAGACTTTTATATCCTTAATGGAATACTAGCCTTATAAAAAATGAATCCAATTTGTATGAAAGTTATCTTAGTTTTCAAGTTCCTTCCCAACTCCAAGACCTAGAACAGGTCACCTTGAGTGTGCCTATGGCTTTTTCGTTTTGCTTAAACTGCTTAAATGAAGAGTTAAATACTTCAAATGAAGAGAAAAAAAAAAAAGCAGCAGTGTCTAAAAGAAAAAGACATTTCTATTGAGTTCTTTAAGAATAAAATAAAAATAATAAATGCTTAACACAATTTAAAAATTGTGGAAATATTAGTCGTTTGGATATTAATATTATTATACATTTTTGGTCATAAGAACAACATGCACTTTCTTTGTCCATAAATCAACATTACACTTAAATGTAAAAGTTTAAAAATCAGATAACACATCACACATAAGAATTAAATATTTTCACACGTGCCCGCTTCCCCTAAAAAGCTTCATTTTTTCATTGTGTAGACACAAGAGAATTTTTTGCCAGTGCATTTACTGACCTGACCGACAACATAAGAAGCCTTATTTTTAAGAGGATGCAAGAAAGTCCTCAAGTTCATCAACCTGGTTGCAAAGTAGTATGTACGCACTTTCTGAAAGTTAGATACACACACGTGGATGATCTTGGCTTTAAGGAGCCTGGTTCTACTTGTGCACAAGCTCTTCAATGCTTTTTACTCTTCTTTTAAACCTCCTTGCCTTATCTTTATGGAAGGTAAGATTCTGTACGCTAGTGGCCAAAGCCCATACAAGAGCTCACATACAATACTTTGGTCAAACTGACTAGTTACTACAGGCAAAGCCAATGGAACTTCAAGAACATGCAACGATGAAAGAGCAGAGTGACGAGCTGATGCCCACAAAGCATACTTGTGGAACAACTCACAAGCTGAAGGAGCTGCTATTTGAGAGACCAGAGTCAAGTTTGATTATGTTATACAGGAAATATATGAATTTTAAAAGCCCACTTCTTTTGGCCTCTGAAATATTCTTCTGGATGCCTCTAGAAGGATGACAGATCACAACTCATAAGATTCTTGAAAAGAGCTGATATCCTATGATAATTCATGTAATATGATAACTTCTATACCATGATAATATGGCACATAACATGAATCATTCTTCACCTTTCCTTTCAGCTACAACAAAGATTATTTTATTTGCATTTTTAAAAAAATGGAGTAACTGCTACCACAAAACAAAGAAGAGCAAATATGAAGTTTGAATGTGCACAGTAGTTTTTATTCTTCCTAGTTTGTTTCAGCAGTTTCCAACATTTCTGCTTCCACCCCTTCTTTTTTCCTAAAAGATATTCTCCTTTTTCACCTTATATTTTGGGATATTTCTTCTTTTTCTGGAGGGAGGAGGAACAGGAAAATGTCTGATGATCGCTGCTGCCTCAGTTTTTAATCTTTTCTCAAATTTTCCATTTTTCAAATGTCTAGGTGTGCACAGAGGTATGAACAGGCACAAAAATTGACCTCACTCAGCTGCTGCCACTGCTTTGTTACACTAGTAGCTGGCCAAGAATCTGACTGCTTACCTCCATGTGGGTTCTTTGTCCTACACCTACACAAGTCATGCCTAATTTGTACAGGCCTAAAGTAAGAATGACACAGCCAAATAAAGTTTAGCACATACTTTTTGAACACTGAAAATTATACCAACAAGCCATACCACTGAAACACATTCCCTCAAATATTTTGCAAATAAGCGCAGGTTCCCATTTCTCATGAATTCTTCATATTCATACATGTAAATGCACGTCAATTTCTCCAAATTTATCCTTGTTTGCAGAAAACAATGGTATAACTTTAGAGCCCTCTCATTTTATTGACAAATACTGAAAGAAAACTAAAGTGTCAGCATTTGCAAGCTTCACCATCTGTACATAGTTCTACCATCTGAACCAAAGAGATACATCAGGAGAATTTAAAAAAAAAAAAAAAAAAAAGGCAATATATCCTTCTTAAGAAACAAATGTGCTCTAATACAAAGAATAAGACCGAATACAATTTTCACAGAAAGCAGAGCAAGTTATACGGTAACAATTACAGACTATATCAATTAAATCATCCATTTTAGTGGAGATAATGAAATCTCATCTCTATTAATAATTGTTGAATCAGAAAAGAAATTCTGAATCAAATTGCCAATGAAGAAAGTAAAGAGACTAGAATTTTCTTGACCTTCAAAAAAAGCAAACCAATAAATGCAAACTCTGCACTTTGTAGACAACTCACGCGTTTATTAGAGTCATAGCCTCAGCAAGTTATTAAGTCTTCAAAAACATGCTCCCCAGAAACTCAGATGCATTTGCAATGAAACAACTATCCAACCTAATTTCATCTTCATCATTTTCTTAATAAAATAACATTTGACTTTTCCATCCTTAATTCTGTTGGCCGGTGAGGAGAGGAAGGAAACTACATTTTAACTTCAGTAAGGTATTGAAGTGCAATAGAAAAAAACCCAGTAAATTATTTTAATATAATTTTTAAAGAATCACATAGTTTCACTTCCCAAAGATTCCCAAGATTTTGTAAAGTTTCAAGTTGTATTTTCTCTTTCAGTTAAACTGTTATGGCTATACAACTTGACTTAAAGAGTGATAAGAAATGTATGAACTTGTTGCGCCTTGTTATGTTACTTGCCTAACACAACTTATATATTTTCACTTTATCAGGAGGCACGCTGTAGCATACACATTTGAACCTCCCTGTCCAGAAACAGACAGTTCTTCAACCACTGCAAAAAGTGAAGCTTTGCATAGGTTTTTTTGACCTCGCACTGTGACCCTCATACCAGCATCCACAGGCTATAGGTCACGACCTCAAGAATTAGCATCATGGAAATAAGAGCCCTTCCAGGTTTAGTTACAGAACAGAACACTGTAGCAACAAACTCCTCAGTCTTTTCTAAACTGAACCCTGCAGCTTTGTTTTAACTCCACTAGAAGACAATAGATAACCCACACTTCAGTTTTCATTACTCGCACACTAAATCGTCTCCTCTCCAAGTAAAGGTCTGAGCTCCCGCCGCACTATGAAAACATTCATTCAGTGTGGATCAAAAGCCAATATCATATTGCTGCTAGATGATCCTATTAAAAGGTTAAAGGAACATCACTATGGAATTGAAGACTTTTGTAATGTTAAGCAAAAAGGCTGAAATAAGTTATCACTATTAACATTTTATCTCATAAACAGGCTGCTTTGCATACACTTCCTCTGAAAATAAAAGCTAACCCTGCATCACAAGGACTTTCACAATGCTACGTTATTGCTACTTAAGCCAGACATAACAAGCTCCATTTATATTAAATTCTGAACTATATTTCTAAACTAAGCTTTTCATCAGTAAGCATTCTCAGATACGTTTAACTAAGGAAACGGGACCTATAGCGAGAACTTTGCAACTGGGAAGCTTTTTCCCGCTTTCCTCAGCAGGGGGAGCCAGCCCCCTCAGCCTGGAGAGGCTGCACCAGCGAGCTCTCCTCCTCCTCCTCACCCAGCTGAGAGGCCGGCAGTGGGCAAAAACACACCGGGGCTTTTCATCAGTAAGCATTCTCAGATACGTTTAACTAAGGAAACGGGACCTATAGCGAGAACTTTGCAACTGGGAAGCTTTTTCCCGCTTTCCTCAGCAGGGGGAGCCAGCCCCCTCAGCCTGGAGAGGCTGCACCAGCGAGCTCTCCTCCTCCTCCTCACCCAGCTGAGAGGCCGGCAGTGGGCAAAAACACACCGGGGGTTACCTTTATCCTGGAATTCTTGAGGATAACTGCAGAAAGAAGAACATAAACGCACACTTGTGAATCTGGAGTACTAGAACACAGCATAGAACAAGTACTAGTTTTCAACAACATTTGTAGTTGATGCTTAGCGCTGCAAGTTTTCCTGAATTATTTTTAGGGATTTTTGGCTAAAATATTTTAGCCAGTTTTTCTTTTGACTTTGCAGTTAAGAGAATCCTCAGTTACTTCAAAGAAGACTTGAGCAAAACCAGATTCAGATAGAGCGGCCTTTTCTGGGACTATACATCTACTCAGATATTTTAAGGTATAAACATACAAAAGCATCTCTAATTTTAGTAAATCTTCTAAATGTTAATATATTTCAAAAAGTTTTGTGCACATGTAAAAACCACTAAGCATACCTTAAAAATAACATGGTAGGTCAGCA